AGGCTGAGGTGAGAGGATTGCTTGAGTTCATGGGTTCGAGACCAGCCTGGGCAACTTGGTAAGACCTTGTCTCTACAATAAATAAAAAAATTAACTGAGTGTGGTGGTTCACACCTGTAATTCCAGCTACTTAGGCTGATGCTGCAGGATCACCTGAGCCCAGCAGATCGCGACTGTGGCAGCTGTGAGCGTGCTACTGCACTCCACCCTAGGCAACAGAGTGAGACTCTGACTCAAAAAATAATAATGATAATAAAAAATAAAATGTGGAGTTGTGGGGCTAGACAGAGCCTGACGGGTCAGCAATAGGGGTGTCTGAGTTTCCTGTAAGGAATGAAGGGCAGAGATAAGGATGATGAGGTGACTTTGCTGTGACCCTGCCCATGCATTGTCACTGGACTCCAAAAATAGTGAAGATTCCTAGAATCTTGATTTTTTTTTTTTTTGAGTCGGAGTCTCACTGTCACCCAGACTGCAGAGTAGTGGCATGTCCACAGCCACCACAGGCTCTACCTGCTGGGCTCAGGTGATCCTTCTGCCTCAGCCTTCTAAGTAGTTGGAACTATAGGCGTGCACCATCACATCGGGTTTATTTTTTTAATTTATTTTAGAGACAAGGTCACAACAAGTTTCCCAGGCCAGTCTCAAACCCCTGGGCTCAGGCAATCTTCTCTCCTTCACCTCCCAAAGTGCTGGGATTACGGCACGAGCCACTGCACCTGACAGAATCTGGATTTCTAATATCAAGTGGAGGAGAAGACATGAAATCAAGGGAGGAGAAAACTCAGAGCCAGAACCCAAGGATGCAAGAGGAAGCTGTTAATGGGCAGAGCATCTAGGATTAGGAGAGCAGGTTATGCAGAAAGTTGCCAGGTGTAAGCTTTCCCTATGAAGACCCTCTTCCCCCAGGAATTATTTAAGAACCCTCAGATCTCAGTTCTCTGATTTCTTTTTTATTTTTTGAGTAGGAATCTCACTCTGTCACCCTGGCTGGAGTGCAGTGGCATGCTCATGGCCACCAAAGCCTCAACCTGCTGGGTTGAGGTGATCCTTCTGCCTCAGCTTTCCAAGTAGCTGGAATTGCAGATGTGCACCACACCTGGCTAAATTTTTTATTTATTGTAGAGATGAGGTCTTACCAAGTTGCCCAGGCTGGTCTTGAACCTGCGAGCTCAGACAATTCTCTCACCTTGGCCTTCCAAAGTGCTGGGATTATAGGCATGAGCCACCATGCCTGGAGGATTTTTTGGATGTATTCCCTCTACTGCTTTACTGAGCACTTGGTCCTATGCTGCCAGATACTGCTTTACAATTCAGTGTCCCTAGTTAGTCCTCCCAATATATCACCTATTACTTAGATCTCTAGCACTTATTTCATTCTGCCTTAGAGTCTAGCTGGTTGTTTAAATGTTTGCTTTTTCAACTCATCAGGAACCTGCCTAAGAATGGGGACCATGTCTTACTCATCTCTTTTCCCTCAAATTCAACCAAGATGCTTTAGACATGCTGAAGTGGTCTCCTTGGGGGCAAGCAACTGCATTTGTATCAACTTGTCCCCCCTCCCCACAATGTGTAAGAGTTTCCTATGCATATAGTAGGGGTTAGCAAATTATTTGTAATTTTGAGAAGTCTAACCAAAAACATTCAAATATACACTAAGAATTTCTGTATAATTTCCATCTTTTGGAAAATGATAGGGCCAGGCACAGTGGCTCATGCCTACAATCCCAGCACTTTGTAAGATTGAGGTGAGAGGATTGCCTGAGCCCAGGGGTTCGAGACCAGTCTAGGCAATTTGGCAAGACCTCATCTCTACAATAAGTAAAAAAAAATTAGCTGGGCTTGGTGGCGTGTGCCTGTAGTTCTAGCTACTTGGAAGACTGAGTCAGAAGGATCACTTGTATCCAACAGGTTGAGGCTACAGTGGCTGTGAGCGTGTCACTGCACTCCAGCCTGGGCAACAGAGTGAGACTCCAACTCAAAAAAGAAAGAAAGAAAGAAAAATGATTTACATCATCCCAACAGAATGGAAAATCTTGGGGCTTGCTTTCAGTAAATTACTTTTGCTAGACTAAGAGGGGAGAGGTAGGAAGAAAAGGAAAAAGAGTAATTCAGCTGCACAGAGTAATTCAGTCACACATGGCGTACTACAAGTACCACAGACCCAGACTATCCAGAACTGTCTCATGGTCTTTTTAGGTAGAGTGAAATATTTTTGGAACAGGTTTTGTCTGGCAATCAGATTTGGTGCACTGGCCTTGCTCACTGGGAGGCATTCAGGGTTACTTAGAGGAGACGAACATCTCAGACATTGATTGCTCAGTCTAGGGTCACTGACAACTCAGCTGGTCTGTGAGTCCTGGGGCCTGCTTCAGCATTCAGGCAAATGCTCTGAACTTTTGCCAGGGAAGGCTCATTAGGTATAGTTGAGTCAATATACCTAATGAGCAGCCATTTTAACATTGCTTAGCTTTGTCATGTTTTTCTAGCAGCTCACTTCAATTTACCCTCTAATCACTTGGCAAGGACAGAACCGGTTTCTCAAAGGTAGCTATTGATAACTGTTTTACAACCCTCTCCCCAGCTTGTTTTGTACTAATTAGCTTTTCAAGTATTTGCCTCCACCCATAAGACCCAAGTTAACCTAATCAGCCCTTCCTGACCTCCATGACACAGATCCCTCACCATGGCAGCAATCATGTGATTAGCCCACCCATCTGCCGGTCGTCCATCACCTGACATCAGTACCTGTGCTTACCTGCCCTCCATGATGACATGGAGCAGACCACCACCCAATCATCTTAACGACCTGCCCCCATCAAATTGCTTTACTAAATTCTGGTGTGGTCATGTGTTCTTTGAGCTATGACCACCACCATATTTCCTAAGTTTTGGCCTCTTCTCCTACCTTGGGGAGGTGAATCACCTTTCTCTCTCTCCGATTTACTTTCTAAGTAAACTATATTTTTTTAATCTAACTGCTGTGCAATTCTTTGCATCTTTCACACAGCACTGGATCACACACCAGACATTCTTCATTGGGTCTGACCTAACAGGAACAAAAATATTCAGATTATATGACAAGTATCCAATAACTATTTTCTGATTGTTACATGTATATGTAGATGATGAATCCCTAGCATCTTATCTTTGATCACTTCCTCCCACCCTCTTGGGAGAGGAGGGTGGTGGTAGGGAGGGCTGGAGAAGAAAGAGACAAAGCTTCTCAATGGCAGGCTGGGAAGGAAAATTTATTAGCATTGACCTCCTAATAAAAAAGAAATAGATACAGACTGTCTCTCAGACCTCCAGGGAGTCTCAGCATGCTCCTGATCAACAAGATAACTGAATGCTGCCTTCTCTGGGGATCCCACAGCTCCTCCTTTCCACCTGCTTCTGGCGTCTCACTGTCGCCGTTTGGAAGGCCTTTCTGCTCTTACCGCCTACTGCAATCCTTCCAGATATTACTTCCTCAAGACCCTCTCGTTTCTCCTGGTGAAAACTAACTGTTCCCTCCATGCGTACCTATTGCCCTCAGGACTTCTTTCAGACTCAGACTTGTGTGTGGTGATGTCTTATGCACAGATACCTGTGTGTTCCAAGCCCTGTGTGAACACACTGGGGAAAAGAAAACAAAACGAAAAACAACACCAGTGGGATAAAATTGGTGGAATACGGTCAAGTAAATTACAGAGATTATGTATGCATGTATACATATGTTTTCTACATATTTGGTTTGTTTTTTGGTTGTTGTTGTTCATTAGAGCCATTTCCAATTGGAAAGGACGTTTCAATTATCTTTGGCCTTAAAAAGAGTCAGTATGACCCTGCCTCCTGCAACATGCCATATTCAGAAGAGTGAACAAAGTGCCAGGCTATTGGAGTCTAACATCCTAGTAGTGATTTCCTCTCTGAGGAAAGGAAATCAATTGCCGCCTAAGAGCTTGCAGTGTAATGTAAGGGAATGATGATGCTGGTGAACCGTTACTTGCCGGGGAACAAGTGTCAAGCAAAAGGCACAGTGACCTGGAGTAAGAAGCCTGACCACGAGTTCTTCAGGCTCATGGGGAAGCCAGGCATGGGCCAGGTTCCCCCGTCTCCTCAGCTCTTTCGTGGTCTCAGGCTCCATCTCCTGTGGTGGGAGCTTGGTACAATGTAATGATCCAGGACCAAAGTGAAATCCCGAGTTAAATCCAGGACTAGAGGGCACTCCCAAACCTTCAGTGGTGAAATACCGCGCTAGGTTGCCCGGCAACTAACTGCTTCAGTGGGGGCAGAAGGTAGGTGGAATGCTGAGGGAGAAAAACCTGGATCAAGGACAAGAATGGGAGGGGCTTTTATTTTCTCTCTTTCTTTCTTTCTTTTTTTTTTTTTTTGAGTCAGAGTCTCACTGTCGCCCAGGGGGTGAGCAGTGGCCGCCCCAGCCTCGACCTGCTGGACTTCAGGCGATCCTTCCGTCTCAGCCTTCAAAGTAGCTGGCACTACAAGGCGCGAGACACCACGAGCGGCTAATTTTTTGATTTACCGTAGAGACGAGGTCTCGCCAAGTTGCCCAGGCTGGTCTAGAACTCTGGGTTCGGGCAATCCTCTCGCCTCGGCCTCCCAAAGTGCTGGGGTTACAGGCATGAGCCACCGCGCCCGGCAGGGAGGGACTTTTCAAGGGACTAAGCTTTAAACTTTACATCATCCTTCCAAATTATAGCTGCGTTTCCGGAAATTGGCAACAGGTTTCCTACAAGGAGCAAGGGCGGCTCCGCCCACGCTTGTCTCTCGTGCCTACCCCGGTCCCGCAGTAGCCATCTTCTAGGCTCCGGAGGCATCCCAGAGGAGGCGTGGGGTGCTGGCTCTTTAAACTCGACCTGCAGAGGCGGACGGAGCTGAAAGTGACGTGAGACCAGAGTGCGAGCGGTGTCGGACACGTGGTACGCGAGGCGGTCATCTTGGAAATGGGCAAGGGGTATTTCCGCTCTGGGTAGTACATCCTGAATAAAACATTAGGAAAGTATCCCGCTCTTGCTTTTCTTTCTTTAATTGCTTTTCTAATGCTCCCGGGATGATTCTACTATCGAACAAAGGATGAAGTTTAAAATTACGCTTCTGTGTCCCGCCCTCCTCTCGCCACCCCCCCCCCCCGTGCCCGTATTAAAAATGGCGGCGGCCGCCGCCTGCCCCGGCGATATTTGCTCTGCGAAGATCCGGGCGGAAACAGGGGGTAGGCAGGTGCAGCCGGGTAGCGCCGAGGTTGCTTCAGAGAGGTTCTCCGGGGTCCCGAGGGCAGCGCAACTCACAATTGCAGGGTTTTGTCCAGGCTGGTGTGGGGGGAGCCTGCCTGTGCGGAGCGCCAACTCGTTACTGAGGCCCCAGGACTGCACTCCAGCTTGCCCGTTAGCTGAGGAAGCGGCAGAGCGAGGCCCCCTGACTGGTCACCATGTGGACCTTCCCGGAGTTGCCGATGCCGCTGCTGGTGAATTTGATCGGCTCGCTGCTGGGATTTGTGGCCACACTCACTCTCATCCCGGCCTTCCGTGGCCACTTTATTGCCGCGCGCCTCTGTGGCCAGGACCTCAACAAAACTAGCCGGCAGCAGATGTGAGCAGTGGCACTCGGGTCCCGGGCAGGGGGTAAGGGCTGAGGAAGGAGTGGGCAGGGCCGGGGCGGAGACCCGGGTGCTGACTCAGGCAGCCTGGAACTCTGAGAGGTGATGGGCAGAACTGGTTAGCATTGGGGAAGGGGTGGGTGAGGGACCCTTGGGTGTATCAGGGACTCCAGCAGTGGTGCTCTCCACCCCC